AGTAAATTTTTCTAAGGGGAGTTGTAAAATAATAATTTGTCCTATGGACAATAAATTCGAATTTTTACTCATTGTTTTTCTATATTTGCAGTACCCGATTTTAAAGTCTTTTTTGGCGGGCTCGTTCTCCGGGACATTCTCCACGATCCTCTTCCAACCGCTGGATTTAGTGAAGACCAGACTTCAGAGTAGAATTAATGCCCCTGTCGGGTAAGATTAAAATACATTGCTGTAAACAAAATCGACATTTTTATTTTAAATATATAATCAGAATTTGTCCTCTTTGTGCTCAAAATTCTTAATACTTTTAAATTTAAATAATTTGATGTCTGTGTCGATATTTAATTTCTTAAAATTTTTCAAAATTACATCTTTTACTTAATTTAAATTTGATTTTTTGGCGCAATTAATTTTATTAATTTAAAATTTAATTCTTTTTTATTTTTATAAGAATTTAAATTTAAAACTTGTTACCTTAAGCTTCTATTTTTCAAATAATTACTAACTTTTCGGATTTCTTAATAGATCGCTAAAAAATGGAATGCTGGGCACAGTGGCGCACATCGTTCAGAAGGAGAATGTCTTCGGACTTTGGAAGGGTATGACACCGGTAAGATATCGTTCTGAAAATTAATATGAATTGAATGTTATTCACACTGATATAACGATATGATGGATGTCAATTGTAGTCGATAACTAGAGTAATTCCTGGTGTGGGTTTGTATTTTTCATCGCTACACTGGCTGAAACACACTTTCAATCTTGAAGAACCCCTGACAGCTCTGCAAGCTATTTCTTTGGGCATTACCGCAAGGTCCATGTCCGGCGCCTTGCTAATTCCTATCACTGTTGTGAAGACTCGATTTGAGGTACATTCAGAAAATAATAATAATAATAATAATAATAATAAGATAATAAATAGAATAAAGAGCATGAAAGAACATGATGGCATTTTTAAAATTACAAAGGAAAGAAATGCTGAAAACATGATAGAAAAAGAAAGAAAAATTCTAAAGCTCAGAAAAGTTTTCCCTAAACGTTATTAATATATATTTGTAATAGCATGACAATATCTAAAAATATTTTATAAGTTTCGATTATATGAGGATTCGATGATTATATTTTTTGATTTTTTCAAAACGAAATTCGAGCTGATTATATAAATATAATTCTGTATAATTTCTGCAGAGTGGTATTTACAAGTACAACGGTATCAGCGAAGCTCTTACGTTGATCTATAAGCAAGAGGGAGTAAGAGGTTTATCGAGTGGTTTGGTTCCTACTCTTCTACGAGATGCACCTTACAGTGGTTTATATCTCATGTTTTACACCCAATTAAAAAACGCGGCTGCCAGTACAGGTATTCCTCAAAGCGATATATTAAAAAATATTTTACATAAAAATTATGAAGTTGTTTATGACTTTGTTAGTATAATTTGTCGATATCCCTATAATTTTAAATAAAAAAAAATCAGATTTCATTAAGCTAATTATGTCGATATCTCGTTGAACAATAACAAATTCTTCTGTTTGCAGAAGCGACAAACAATTCGTCGACACCGGTACACTTTAGCTGTGGAATCCTGGCTGGAATTTTAGCATCCATAGTGACGCAACCACCGGATGTTATCAAGACGAAGATACAGTTGTACCCGAATGAATTCCATGGTATCTGTCACGCAACATTCTTCATTTACAAAAAGTATGGCATTTTAGGATATTTCAAGGGTATCATTCCTAGAATGCTGAGGCGGACTTTAATGACCACTATGGCTTGGACCGTGTATGAACAGGTAAGTCGATCTATTGTCAAATAAAGATATCGCTACGATCACATAAAAAATATTAAATTTCCAAATTTTGCAGAAATTATTACTACTATTATTAAATATTAAAATTCCATATAAGAATTATATACAATATTTATTTAGCAAATATATATATATTGTACATAAAAAATTATAATAGTGAAGCTAATTAAATTAACAATGTATATTTTATTGTATTATCCAGATTACGAGGCAAATTGGTTTGAAGTAAATACGCTGTTGTTATACGAATTATTTTATATCAGAAGATTGTGATGTACAGTATTAGCATAGACTGTTTATGTATTATTAAATTCACATATTTATATATATTTATTATATGTAATAAATTATATATTTTTATAAGCTTATGTGATTATATATTTATATATCATTATCCTTCTCATAGATGCCCGATGCGATAATACTAGTTACGCCATCTCTTGAAAATCCTTTAAAATTAATACACACTCTCAATATATATATTAAAGTGTATATTAAAAAAATAAATAAAAAGTAGAGCAAACAAAGAAATATGTGGGGTATTGTTTTATTAATTCTAAATAACAATTTACAAGTATTATTATTATTATAACAGCAAATACAAATTGTACAATTTACCTTGCTGATCATTCTGTTTATGTATGGATGGTCTAAAATAATTGCTTTGAACACGATTTATATCGATTCTGGTATATCTGTGATCTCAACGCAAATATTTTCTTCACCTGTCCTCCCTTCTCTCACTCTTTTTTTTATTGTTAAGATTATGCAAAATCTTTACCTTAACAATATGTTAAACGCTGTCTTGGACATGTTCTGGAAGTCGCTCTTGATTCTTCTCTTCTTCCTGAAAGTAGAGAATCCACATTTTAGCAAAAATGTCATCGATACCGAAATACAATGTAATAGCCAAACATTGTTTAATGATAATCTTGGTAGCAAAATCCTGTCCCACATCTGTCGACTGTGTGTTTGTTTAACAAGCGCTCGAGGTCCTCATTAGTTATCAATTAAATCTCTCCGATTAGAAATAGCAAAAAAATACGCAGATAGTTAATTTCTATTGTCTGTGGAGGGAGGGAAGATTGATGACTTTCGTCATTCACGATTGGTGACATTCGTCAAATATCTAAATAATTAAATATCAATGCTCTCTTAAGTCTAATTTTAAAAATAGATATTATATCTTTTACAAATATCAGGTATACATTTCTCTCTTATAATTACCTATTTTTTTTGCTTAGCTCTGCTAAGAGTAACATTCTTGTTTAAATATATTCTATTTCCTGATAAAAACGGTAGAGTACTAATGTCGGTCTTGCACGAATGTGCACGGTCCTAAATATCAGCGATTTGAGGATCCATGTCTAAAACTTTATATCTCAAAGATCGTTAAACATTAGCTAGCCAAGGATCTCAAAAGAACAAAGAGCTAATTCTCCTGGCAGAAGGACATGTGTTGATATTATCATTCCGGCATAAATACCTCGTCAATTGAGCGTGGCAGAAGCTAGAGGTTCGTATAGTCACAGTCACACGTTTGCAGGGCGCACTCGCAGTTGTGCACTCGTGCATTTGCAGTTTTCGTGGACGAAGCTCTATGAAGCGGGCACTGAGAGCTGTGTCCCCTCCACACTAAACCACTAAATCTCTTTCTCTCTCTCTTTTTCTCTCTCTCTTTCTCTCGTTAATAACGCGCAAACAAGATTGCGGCATTAACGAATCTACAGAAACAACTTTGTGCCCGAGAAGCAAAAAGGGTAAAGTCCAAAATTATCAGCTTTTACCGGGATTTGAATTTATATTATCGTAATAAGAAGTACGATGACCTTTTATAAAATACGTGGAAAAGCAAGATAAATTTTTGAAGAGTAAATCTCGAAATCAATTATCTAAAAATAAAACGCGACAAGACTACTTAGAATAAAGAGAAAAACGCTGTATTTTTTTTTATAGAAACAATTCGTTTTATTTTTAAGTAAACACTATGCATCTATTATATTGGACGAGTTTCAACCTGATTGCATTTATTCACATTCATTAGATTCATCTTGAAAGCGCATATCCACAATTCCAGACCTTCGCGGGTTTTTCCTGGAAAAAAATGAAATCTTGAACTTGTGCTTTTATGCTGCTTGGGTACAGAGTTAATAACTGATAAAAGCAAGCATAGGTATACCTCCTCCCAGCTTGCTTCATAAATAAATCGAAAATGCTCGGAATGATATTAGATATGTAAAAAAAAATTAAACTTTCACACGTAGTGATTAAAAATTTTATATTTTTATGTAAATTAGAAATTTAAATTGTTATACAAGTTTACTTCCTAATTATAACAGTAATTTCCAGAACAATGCAATTTTATATTGTTGAAGTTTTTTTTTATTATAAAATACTTTAAATATTCGAAAAAATTAAATTTAGAAAAAATTTAAAGAAAAATTACATGCATAAATGTATTTCAATTTTTTTTTTAAATCATTACATGTAATTGAAACATAAAAGACTCGACCATGAAAACAAATTTAAATTTAATTTTCTCGATCTACAAAAGTTTTACAAATATTACAGTATCATACGCAAAAGCATTTTGTCTTTTTATACAATATATTTACAACACTCTATATAACAATAAATTTACCTATTACATTCTGTACATTTTATCATTGATCTCCCAGCTCTATATACGTGATTGCGTCACTAACAAATTTTGATGTTAAGGAAAAGAAGAAAGAACATAATTTGTTCCTCGAATTGTATAATACGGTGCGTTCATTTTTCATAAAAGCATTACTATTCTGGAAGATTAGACAGAGAGAGAGGCGGAGAGAAATAGAGTATATTTCAGAGAGAGTGAGATGAACTTGCTGTATGACTTACGCGGCGCTTCAAACATCACAGATTATATTATCATGTATATGTATTATGTGCATCGGAATGGCAACTCACCTGGATCAAGAGAGTACCTGTACAGTAATTGAGACGAATATGGTTATATTGTTTGGTGCATACCTGGCTTACTTCTCACTCACTAACCAATCAAGAGAAGTTACTTGTGACTTCGACTTCGCGAGCGGTGACGGCGACGATTATGATGGCTGGAACTACGATGATCACGACTCCCTGAAATCATTATCATTGTCATTGCATTGTTCTAAAAAACACAATGTCTGATGTATAGATTATAATTGATTAACGTTATCATTCACCTTTATCTCGACCGTGACGTCGATGGCTATCTTCATCTCGATGATGTTTATCTCGCGATCTACTTCTACTTCTATGCCTAGAATTTCTGTAATAAGCAACATCCCCGTTACATTGGCTCATTCGATTCTTGAACATCATATTTCTGCTAGAATGTAAAAATACAACAGAAAAGATCCTTTAGAAATTAAATTGGAAACAATTTTTATCAAATGTATGAAAATTCTAATCGATATTTATCCTAATATTCTAACACTATTCTAGTTCTGAATAGTTTAGAATAATTTTTTTAAAGAAAGGCCATAATATGTAGAAATTTCTACCTATGACCGCCCGAATCATGGCGGCTCTTATCATCATCCATTCGTCTGCGACGCTTGTCCCTTTCTCTGTCGCGATCTCTATCTCTGTCGCCGTCTTTCCGCCGTCGGTCGAGCTCTTCGTTCGCTCGTGCTCTTTGCTTCCGTTCCTCCTCTCTTTTTTGTTCTTTCTCGTCACGCGCCTTCTCACGCTTGTTCTATAGATACAATTTTAATTTAGCTCTCAGCTTCGAAGATATATTTAAGATTCTTGTTCAATCAACACTATAATTCTATTCAAATATAACTTGTAAAAATTTTTGATAATTCTTAAGAATAGCTATCTCATCTCCGATTTCGATGAAATTAGGCTCATTTGAGACGTTTTTGCGTAAAATGAAAGAATCTGTCAAAAAAAAGTCCAGGAAGGACTGCCCTACGAAGGGAGATATTGAGCGTTAAAGTTGACAACTATTGAGATTAGAAAATCTGTCATGTGGAGTGTAGACAGTAGTGCTTATTGGTTCGGGACAGTTGCCTCAAACAAAAAAAAATAACATATTCTATCCGCTTGGGATCTAACTACCTAGAAGTTGCTACCTAGACCAAAAGATCGCTCTAAAAAGACTGTTCTCACATCCCTGTCTTCATGGATTAGAAATATTCTAAGCGGATACTGTCTACACTGCAACTTCTAGGCGGTTAGACTCCAAGTCTAAGGCGGGTAGGATATATTATTTTCTCTCCATATAATAAATACTAGTCTATATACTCTACTATCTATACAGATCTAGACAGATTAATGATTGTATTACGTAGTAACACTTTAATCAACTTTAACATTCAATATCTCGCTTCGCAGAGCAGTCCCGGACTTTTTTCTGCCAGATTTTTTCATTTTATACAAAAAATGCGTCGAATGAATCTAATTTTATCAAAATCGGAGGTGAGGTAGCTATTCTGAAAAATTACCGAATTTTTATTATTTTCTTGCTTCTGATGCCACATTACAAGCAGTGGTGAGTGAAGAGGAACTTTAAGGAATGTTAAAAAAATATCAAAATATCAAAATATCTCTACCATAATCTCTTGAAGAGCGCTCTTTAGCCTGGCATAGCCCACGTGTTGTTTTCCCATTAAATGATCATCAATCCGCTGCTGAGCATCACCCACGATAAGAAATGCACCACATACATCACATACCTCCATTTGTTTCTCCTGTGCGGCTGCTAGCTCAGCAGTCTGCAAATTAACAGAATTAGTATAAATAAGAATTCAAGTAGCAAACAATAAATTATTTACAATTACTTATAATTATTACATATACAGCTACATAGAAATTAATTATAGATTATAGTTATAATTTGTAAATTCAAATAATTGTTTCATACTCACTTGGTTGTAATGACTGTTATCATTGGATTTCCTCAAGGTTTCGCGCTCTTCTTTCAACTGGTCGCAAAGACGCATTAGGCCCTGTGCTTGCTCCACATTACCTTGAATTCCACTTTGCTCGGCTTCTTCAACTAACTTATTTATTTTCTCTGTTAGTAGAGCAATCTGTTCCTCATTCCTCTGAGTTTGGGCTGGAGTTAACGTCGGCTACACACACAAGAATTATTAAATTACAACTCTGCGCTTACAATCTGATCTTCTAGTGAAACTTACTGCTTCTGTTCTCCCAATCAGTGCCAATCGCTGCTTTCCCTTTATGATTTTTCTCTCCACTTCATTTAACATACTCTGACAATACCTGATAAATTCATCCTCGTATTGCTG